ATTAATACAATTATTTATTCTAAAAACATTATTATTATTATTATTTTACTTTTGATATCAAATGAAATGAAAAATGCAGCAAAATTATTTAAAAATGGAAATGAGAACAATATTTAAAATTATAAAAAATGAAGTGGAAACAAATATTTAGAGTAAAATAAAATTAATTAAAAATGCAATGATAATAAAAATTGAAATGAAATAAAAATGAAATGCAAATGACATTAAGAATGAAATAAAATTGATTTAAAATACCATGGAAATAAAAATGAAATACAATTGATTTAAAATGAAATGAAATTGAAATGAAATTCTATATTTTTTATTAATTCCTAATTCATCCAATTTAACCGATTAATCTCGTTTCCGACATAACTTCCGATTAATCTATCCTGCAATTCAAATGAACAACCTCATCAGAATATATCCAAACTGTCTGATTAAACTCAAATGATCATATTCTCCGGTTAACTTCAATCCAATAACTTGAATCGATTTAATTTGAACAGCTCAAATCCTCCACAATCAAACCATTCCAACTACACCTCGGCCCCGACTCACATCAAAAATATCCAACGGCTCAAATTTCCCGACTACAGCTCAAAATTCGTAAATTGACAGCCGACTGCAAATAAATGACCATTTTACCCCTATGAGCTAAAGAGCGCACAAATGCGACTTTTCCTACAAAAATCAACCAACTACACAACTTCTTAGTGACTGGTTAAATGCAATGCAAAAATACAATGGAATGTCAGATGAAACGACAAATCTTAGGGCAAAATTTGGGGTATTACAATACCTTTACGTTTCTGCGGTCACATAAACTTTAAAATTAAAAACAAAAAATAATTTAGACCAGAAGCAATTTCCATTTTAATTATAATTTGTAACGACTAATTAGAGAATCGTCTCTCACCATCTGGATTCGACAGAATTAACTAGACATTTCTATTACATAAATGCTACTATAAATGAAATTCATGTTTAAGTTTAACATAATAAAAATAATAATATTAAATAAAAACATGCAAGTACAATATAATTAAAAGAAATAGCAAAATGAAGTAAAGAACATGTATAATAAAAACATAGTAAATAATAAGGTGCTCCAATCTGTATAATTATAGTAGCAGCGATTCAAATACAAATAAATAAGATCCAAACAATGACTAAAACTTTACAATAAGTGTTTTTTCTAGCTTAAAAATAATACTAAGCTTGGTTGATCTTTTCTAAACCGAATAGTGTCAAAAATCATACTGGGGTGCTTCAAAACGTCTAGGAGAACTGGAGAAAATAGAGGAACTGCTTTGGCCAAATCCTGATATGTGGGCGAAATTTCTGGCCTTTAACCACATGACAGGCGTCATGGCAATGATGATCCATCTGTCATGCGGTGGGGGAGGATGATGAGCGTCATCTAGATGACGACTTACCCGTCATCCAACCCAGACACATTTTTTTCCTTTTTTGTTTGCTTCCTGTGACGGGTTAGACTTTACGTGTCATGACGACCGTCATGCTGACATTGGGCCCGTCATGATAGTACAATACATGTCTTTTCCACCCGTTTTCTCTGTTTCACAATGTTTTCTCACACAGAGGCCCCTGACTGTTAAGCATCTGAAATAGACATAGAATAACAACATAATACCATAAAAAACATAGAAAATGACACAATAATGTATGATATTAAGTCGAAAATATGACATGTTTTTTAGTTATTAAACTCCCCTACATTTGAACTCTTTGTAAGAACAAGATTTGGTTCTACATCTGACATTTGAGTTTGGTGATAACTGCACATGTTATCTAAGAGAACAACTATGTATGATATGGTTTCTGTCTAGTGTGTTACTATTGTCAATATGATTCTGACTCTAATAAGAAGATGTGTGACGTCATCATACTCTGTTATCAACACTCTTGAAGAAAACATATGTGTGTACAAGATAAAGTCAAGATTCATAAATGTTTCTAATACAACATTTCTAATGAACGTTAGTTCTGGACATTCTAATTGAGACTTTATGAGAAAGGCCTATAAGGATTTCTAATGTGATGCACTTCTAATGTTACAAGTTCTGAAGATTCTGAAGACGTGATTCAGGTGAACATGGTTCTGAAGATTCTGAAGACACAATGTTTGAAGGTCAAGTTTTGAAGATAATATTCAGGTGAACAAAGTACTGAAGACTTTGAAGACAAGAATGTGCTTAATAAATTCTGAAGACTCTGAAGAAAACTGTTTGAATGTGTATACAACAATGCAACATGCTAAAACCATGTATAACTAGTCAAGTGAAACATCAATAAGTGAAGCATAGTAATTTAGTTGATCTTGATGGTTAAGTTGGAAGAAACATTACCTGCTTAAGAAAGGAGTTCATAAAAAAAAGCTTAAAGCTCATGAAAAGAAGCCTTAGTGTTCATCAAGAAAGTTTTTAAGAAATACATAACTAATGTTTTATAATCTCTCAGAGATTCATTCTTTAGATAGTTTTATGTTAGAAAGCAAGGAGTTGTTGCTCATATCTTGCTAAGAAACACTTATGTGTTCATGTACTTCATTTGTGTAATCAGCTTGTAAGAAGCATATTAGTGCACAAGAAAATCCTTGTAAAAGATGTTGTTCCTTGAGCGGTCAAGTGAAGATCAAAATGCTTGAGAAGACTAAGCGTGTTTCTAACAACTTATTGGATGTTGTTCCTTGAGCGGTCAAGTGAAGACCAGAATGCTTGAGAAGACTAAATGTATTTCTAACAGTTTAGTGAATGATTTCCTTGAGCGGCTAAGTGAAAGTCAGGATGCTTGAGAGGGCTAAGCGTGTTGTTTAACAACTTAGAGATTGTAATCATTTTGATGATTATTGAATTAAGTCCTCGTTTAAGGCAAAACCACTTCGGTGGGTGGACTGAAGTAACTTCGTTAATAGTGAACTAAGATAAAAATAATTGTGTTCATTTATTTTTATTTACTTGTTAACATCATTAGTTTAATTTCGCAAAAGGGAAAAAAATGTGAAACCCAATTCAAACTCCCGTTTCTTATGTTTCTCAACCTTCACTCATGCTTGTCCTCAAGCAAGTCAACTTGCATGAAAAACACTATAAAAGCAAACTTTTCAAAAAGGTAAATTATGGTCTGAATGCTTGCAATATGGTACGATAAAAAAACAGAGGCAATAGTTATGTGAAAAAATATGCTATGTCTGAATGCTTGCTTGAAAAATGCACATAAAGTAATGTATGAAAACAATGGTGCATGTTGTAAAAAAAGTGAGGTAGTAGTTATGTGAAAAAGTATGTTATGTCACACTAAAATTTAAAAGTCATTAGTTACAAAATTACAACATTAATGACATTAAGAGTATTCCATTGAGTATAACATTAGTGTGAAGAAGTAGTAATGATGAAAATTAAAAATATGTGAAGTAGTATGACATTGTGACCTTGTGACACTGCTTTAAACTCAAAACTATGATGCATGTTGAATAAAGTGAAAATCCACTACTTAAAAACTTATAGCAACGGACTCGGGAAAAATAAGAACTCCATTGTCCAATCCTTTATGCTGTGGTCAAAATCTGAATTCAGATAATACCTCCTCCTTACTATAGGTATGTGCCCTTTAAGATAACAATCTCTTTTTAGGCTATTCAAAATCCTTACTAGAAAATAATATTGCAAAAGATAACAATAAGAAAGACAAACAGAATAAATGACATATTTTTATAAAAAAAACAATACTAACAAAAGCTCTTCTCTATAACATGAGAAAATTAAACATCAGCGTTAAACTAATGTTTCGTTATAATAATACCATTTTATTAGACCAACAATATTACAGCCATAAGCAAATATTTACAAACACTTAAACAAAAACTTGAATAAAAGCACATAGAAGCAAATAAAAATTTCATTTTTATATTTTAAAAATAAAAAATAAAAATACTATAGGAAAATCAAGGAAAGCCCCAAAAGGAAATCAATGATGAGGGTTAAAGAATGAGAAGAGAAAGATTGATTGTGATTTTTATGGAGAAAAGGAAAATGTTGTAAAAAGAAGGCAATATGATAGCAAAGAGAAAGTGTAAAGTAAAGTATATTAATCAGATGAGAGAAAGTGTATTTTAGAGAAAAAAGTTGATTAATTAGACCAATAAGATGCTGACACATGCTCTACAATGTGATATGGACAAGAGTTTTAATTAGTACATTTGTTTTTTACTGAAAAATTATTTTAATAGTGTAATTGATAGATAGCCGATCAAATAATATAATTTTTTAGTCTAAAAATAAAAATATTGTCAAAGGTTTGTTTTAATGACTTTTAGTTTTTAGATTTTAAAAATTATTTTTATAATTTAACTCAAAAAAATAATTTTATTATTTTAAATTTTAAATTTTTTTTTTTTATAAAACCAAATCAACAAAGTCAAAATATTCTTTATTTTCTAAAAGACTAAAATGTTGTTTTACTTTAAAAAAAAATTTTAGCCGTTAAAAAAAAAAGAAAAAAATTGCTTTAAACCGTTGACTGTAAAAAAAACCATGCACCCCATTAAGAAGGGCAAATATGGAAAAAAGAAAGGTATGTATGACCGGAATCACTCCCTCACATACATTCCCAAATCCCAACTTGTTGCGTCAAATTTAAGTTCACACTTCAACAAATCGCCGCCTCCCAAGTCGGAGGAGGGTCCGCTCCTCCTGATTCTCATCCACTTTTCTTCTTCCTCCAATTTAAGACTAAAGGTATATAAATTACCCTTCACATATTTTTGCTATAAACTCAACATCGGCGTAGAAAACCCCAAAACTTGCTCAACTACGGTAGTGTCATCTATCTATCTACCACTATTAGGGTTCATCAGTGTTGCAATTTATCATTACTATTTTGCTTGAATGTGAATGATTATTTTTTATTATTAGGGTTCATCAGCCATCAATATGATAAATTATTTATCCTTCTTGTAGAAGTTGTTCAAGGAAGGCATGATGAAAGAAAACCCCAAGGGAAAATGTGGGTCTTCTTCTCATAAATCCATGAAAGAGAAGGAGAAATATCTGGTGGATAAGATTCAAGGGATTTTCACCAATCTTCAGTCTGCGAGAAAGGAAAGTAGGGCTAATGACATTGTGATATTTGAGGAGCAGATGCATCAGTTGCTTCGAGAGTGGAAGGCCGAACTAGAGTCTCCGGCTACTTCCTTAGCTGTATGTCGTTTGAATAATGTCTCTGCATATTTTTTTGAACTCCTTGCAAACAAATTGAATTGAATGTATTTTTATATATTATATTTGTTGCCATTGTATAGGATGGGAGCCTTGGTTCGTTTACCGGGGATCTAGCCCAGCTGTTGCAAGCCATTGAGGAGAAAGATGATGCAATAAGTCCATTAACAAACCCTGGGCTGTTGAAGACTGATGTCCATCAAAATAACATTAATGATAACAATTATCCGTATTTTCAAGAGGTGGGTTTCTTTCACTTGTTCTGGAGAGTTCTTTACAAGGGTATTTTGGTTAGGTAAACTCATTTTATCATTGAAATCAATACAACTAATTATTTATCTTAAGAAGTGTGCAAAACTCTAAAAGTACACCTAAAATGAGACAAATGGGTGTTATCCATTTTAAGGTTTTACCATTTCATTGTTGTGTTTCTTTTTCTAAATTGTATATGAAACTAATCTCTGGTTTGCTCGAGAGTAGTCAATAGCGGCGCTATCTCGCTATAGCGGAGCGGAGCAGAAGCTGACTGCTATGGGAAGAGCCTTAGCGATGCAGAACACTATAGCAGCCACTATACGGTAAATAGCATGATAGAGGAGCTGAGCGGTAGAGCGGTTCCCGGCCCAGAGCGGTTTCTGAGCCGCTATCCTTTTCCCCTCTAAAAGCTAAAATTACCCCTTAAATTTTTTTGTTTTAAGAGTAATTTTGGGTTTCTCAATCAAATTTGAGTTGAGACTCAACCTTAACCTTCCTTCGAAGTCGCTTATGCACTTCAAGATTCATGTGTGCTTTGATTTATGAATTTATTTGATTAATTTTACATTCAACATATGTTTATAATTATTTTATGTAATTTGTCCAAAAAACGATCAAATAGAGCGGTCATTCCCGCGATGCGCAATTCCGCCATCCCACCCTTCTCCTTAATAGAATTCCTACTAGAGTTGAATTGTTTAGAAGAAATGTCATCTCTAATTCTCATAATTTATCATGTCTTTTTTACTTTGATTAAGAGGAATCAATCAACCACCTTTTGTTCTTAATATCACATTTGAATAAGTTGGCATTCTTACTAATCCAAATGGACACATTTGAATAAGTTGGCATTCTTACTAATCCAAATGGACACATTTGAATAAGTTGGCATTCTTACTAATCCAAATGGACACATTTGAATAAGTTGGCATTCTTACTAATCCAAATGGACCAACAAGATGAGAGCCAGAACAATCCAACAAACTTGCTCTTCAAAAAACCTCTAAGTTGTCTCTAAAAATTCTTACATTTAACAATAAAAGTGTCTTCCAATCCTTCAACTCTAGTAGGAATTATTTTCTAAGAGGGTATCGAAGCCTATCCTAGATCTGTTGTTGGGCTTTCCGCATCACCCACGCTTCGGGCTCATTGAGACGCATCACCCCTAGTCGCCTAATTGTGGCATCTGTCTTGCCTTCATTGCAGCCTCCAACTTTTTCATTGTGTGTGTAGTTTTTATAAAGGTTGGGCAGCCCTCAACTTACAAGCGGTTTTGTAGGTGTAAGGATGAGTTAGGTTAAACTCTAATTCTAATAGTATGCAATAGATTTCATTAGAGATATTCATATTTTAATTTATAAATCCAATTCCTATCATGTTGTGTGAGGTCTTTTAGTTTATTGTGACAAACCTATTGGCTAACATATTTTTTAACCTTCTTGTTCACACGGGAATTACCATAACCCTATACAAACTGAATCACTTAAGCTCAGCCCAACTCATCTGATCACTTGATGTAGGTTATTTAAAGTTTTAGGAAGATATTAAATCTTGTTCTGATTTTTCAGTTAACATTGATTCCTACTTATTGAAATTCATTTGTTGAGATAAAATTACCAAACCACTCTTAGAAAATATTTCTTGTGAGTCTAATGAAACATTCAACTGTTTAAATTAAAATATTTGAACAAAAAACTTAGGTCCCATTTACTTCTATAGGCTCCTGTTTTCATTTTCCTTGAAAATATGCCTTAGAAAATTCATTCAAAAAAATTTTAAAATGTATTTTTTGATTACTATTTAGTATTGTCTGATATTTGGAAAATGCCAAAAAACCATTTCAATGTTCCCGAAAATACACTTTCCTTGGTTAGCCATCCATCTTCTAACTGTCATAATTGTTCACTGTAGTAGCCTTTCATCCATGGCATGATCAACTGAAAATTGAAAATGTTTATAGAAAGAAAATAGGTTCATTCTTATTTTGTAATTTCAATAAAAAAAGCAATACACAACGCCTAAAGAAAGAATACATGTGAGCTGTGTGTGTGTGTTTAATCATATTATGTGCTCTCTACTCATCAATCTTTTGTTTTTCTTGGTTTTTTTAAGCGATAACAAGTGCCATTTTTATTCTTACAGAAATGTTTTGATAATAACCAGCCACTAAATCATACTTTCGAAGGCTCTGCTTCAACTATATTCAACAATGCTTTAAATAGCTCAGACATGGCTCAGTTGGATTTTCATCCGTTCGGTTTAAATCAAGATATGAGTCATAACACTGTAGGTCACAACTCTGATTTGATTGGTCAGTTTGACCTGTATCAAAACCACAGCCTCGGGCACAACACAGAAATTAAAAACTCAGAGTCAGGTCAATTTAGTTTTGAAGAAGGCTTTGATTGTAGCCAATTTTTCATAGATAATGACACCACACAATTTGGAGACAATCTTACACCTAACATTCTTCCAAATATCCGCCCTCCACCTTCTGCTTTTCTAGCCCCAAAATGTGCACTGTGGGACTGTTTCAGACCTGCTCAAGGGTTAGAAAGGTGCCAGGACTACTGTAGTACTAATCACGAGCTTTTAGCAAATAGTGAGGGTCTCCCTGGCATGACTCCCATTTTACGACCTGGTGGCATTGATATAAAAGACGGTCCTTTGTTTGCTGCTGTTCTTGCAAAGACACTGGGAAAAGAAGTGGGCATACCTAAGTGTGAAGGCGCCGCTTCAACGAAAGCCCCCTGGAATGCTTCAGGTTAGTATGGAAATTTATTAGCCTGTTATATATCAATAATTTTATTTTGTTAGGTTTAAAACTTGAATTGTTAGTTTCTTTTTTTTTGCAGAGTTCTTTGACCTTTCTTTTCTTGAGGGTGAGACTATTAGGGAGTGGCTGTTCTTTGACAAGCCTAGAAGGGCGTTTGACAGCGGAACCAGGAAACAGAGGTCACTCCCTGATTACAGTGGGCGTGGTTGGCATGAATCAAGGAAGCAAGTAATGAAGGAACATGGGGGACACAAGAGATCCTATTACATGGATCCCCAGCCTCTTAGTTATCTCGAGTGGCATTTGTACGAGTATGAGATCAATAACCAGGATGGCTGTGCATTATACAGACTAGAATTAAAGCTTGTAGATAAAAAGAAAAGTCCTAAAGGAAAAGTGACTAAGGAGTCTCTAAATGACTTACAAAACAAGATGGGAAAGCTAACAGCCGCTGTTCCATCGCCAGACGATGGAAAATCGGTCAAGGGAAAATCTGAAGCCAAGTCTGAGAATATTGGCCAGCCTGAAAATTAAAATTCTCCTATCCGATTTTTGCAAAAATGACTGACCAACTTGTACATATTTGAGGGTGGGCTTCATCTTATGGAAATTTCTAACTTTTTCTGGACCAAGTTAATGACAGATTCTTGTGGTGGCAGGTGTTCATATTATTGTATGCTAGAATTTGTAGTTTTTGTCCCAAATTGTAATTTTTACACTTAAATTTATTACTCAATTAGTTTTGATGTGAACGAATCCGAACGTAAGTCATTTGTTTTAAATTTATGGTTGTGTTTTGCAACCGAAGAACAAAACACAAACCTAATTTAATTCATCAATGTTCTGCTTTTGAGTAATGACATTGTGTGAAGTTTTCTTGTAAGTTCATTATGTGCTGCGTGGATTAAAAGTTAGGTCAGCGGCACACATTCTAGTTCCTTCGATTACTATCTCACCAAAAATTTAACTGTATTTAGACTCTGTTTGAATAAATTGTATTTAGACTCTGTTTGAATAGACATTCTAGTCAAACGTTTATTTTTTATAAACAATTGTTTATGCATAAACTATTTCTTTTAACAAATGATAAAATAATAAACTTAAATTGTTTTTATTAATTATAGAAAATTTAAAAACAACTTATGAATGTCTTACGACAATTTCGATAAGGTCTTTCAAAAAATATTACAAAACAAGTGCTCGATTCATAAAGGGAAGACATGGAAATGGAGGCGTTTTACTTTTCCCCGTTTCAAAATGTTTCCTGCATCATTTTAATCACTCATCTATGCAACAAAGTTTATTTATTTTTAAAATAAATAATCATTTATTTTTGTTTTCCGAATGGTGTGAAGAAGATATATCATCATTTTTAGCTTAATTTTGATGAAAATAAAAGATTATCTTAAGAGAAAGATTAGAAAAGAAAAAGATTGAATCAAGTATCAATATCAAATTTATGTTAAGATTTAGATTTCAATCGTTATTAGATTATAAATAAAGGTACAATGTTTAAATTAATAGTTATAAATACTAAATGCTCAAAGAAAAATTTTAAAAAATCATTTTGTGGATTACTTTCAAATTGACAAAAAGTGACATTGTTAAACTTTGATTTTCTAAGAGTCTCCGAGAGGATAATCGATTAATCTCAGAAAATTTTAAAATTATTTAATAAAAAAATAAATTAATAAATATAATTTATATAACGGTTAAAATTTTTTATAGTTTCCACTAATTTCATTACTTTATTCCATTTTTGTTACAAAATTTAAATTTTTTTATAGTCTTCACTAATTTCATTACTTTATTCTATTTTTTTCCACAAAATCATCTTCCCACTAATCAAATTTATATCTCATCAATTTATACATTTTTTGCACAAAATTATATTTATATTTTGATCAGAACCTGAAGTGGGGCAGAGACAAACGTCTGTGATGATGGGTGTAAGAGAGGAGGAGAGAGTGTACCTGCAAGGCACTCCGATGCTAAAGTAAGAATCAAGAGAAAGAAGGCAAGTACAGAATATGTGTGTATCAAGGTGAATATTGAATACCAGACTGATCAGTGCATATTTATGCACATTCTCCTACATTTTTACTTAGGCATTTCTTTATTTTATTTTGTTTATTATTATATTTTATTATGTTTTCTTATTTTATTTTATTTTTGGTTTAATTTAATTATCACAACTATTTTTCAGCTTTAGCAGTCTGCGCGGAAACGATCATAACTGGAGTTCTGGGAATCCGTTTGAGGCGTTCTAAAAATCGTCGGAAAGCTAAGAGAGAGAGCTACGACTTTCATATTGGAGTCGAAGTCAGATTCGAAGCTCAAAATTCCAGAATTTTGTTTCAAGTTACAGCATTAGAATTCTATTTTAGTTTTGATCTTGTTTTGGGTCTGAGTTATGTTTTTGACCCAGTTGGGTTATGAACTGAATCCATTGTTTTATTTTGAAGGAAACCTCGTTTACAGTATCCTATTCACTATTCACGAAAATATTTGTTGGAGCTTTGTATGAATTATGGAGAACTAATTCCTTCGGATTAATCTGCTGTAATCGGTTCCCGCCAACACTTTGAGGTTCTTTTAATTTCCAATAAAATCTATTTCCTTTCAATTCTTCTCTATGATATTTTGTTTGCTTAATTCGATTTATCTTAGGGATGATTGATTTATTTCGATGATTGCATGTTCTTATAGTTTAATCTCGGTTGCTTAATTCGCGTATGTTTCTCGTGTTTGCTTAATTCACGGTTACTATTTTATCTGTTTGCTTAATTCAGAAATTAGGAACGTGTATCGTATAATATCAATTGCGCTTGTTAATTGTTATTATAATCGGAAAGGGGATAGAATCCGCTTAGGAATTATTAGGATCGATGATAAGTTGTGAAACGAAAACAGTAGATTAGCCGTTTCAACTCATTACTACAATCACTTTTTCTAATCACTTATTTTTCGTTTATTTTATCTTAATCAAAACCCCCCATATTTCGTTACTGTATTTGATTATTCCTACAAGAATCCTTGTGAGACGATATTCCGAGTCACTGTCGCTGTACTGCATTTTCCTAAAATTACTCGTTTTTGATCCGCGAGCGACCGCGGATCAAATTGGCGCCGTTGTCGGGGATTCTTGTCGTTATTAATCAATTTTAGAGTCATAGGGTTAGTTAGTATCCTCGAGTCTAGACCTTAGTTTCTTCGTGGTTTCGTCCAATTCGCGTTTTACAGTCCAAATCGTAAAAAAATCTATTTTTGGAAAAATTGTGTCCGATCGTAAAACTGTTTTGCCTACGAGAAGCATAAAAATCTTCCGGTCATTAGTCCATGTATTCCAAAGGAATATCTGGAATCCACCCTCAGAATCGCCAAAAAATCCTTTTTTCTATTTGTAATGAATTTTTTACTGTTTTCATAGAGTAAAAAAAAATCGAAAAAATTCTCATAATTGTTATTTTGCTTAATTAGTTTAATTCTGGTATTATTTTATTTTTTTGAAATTTAATTAATTGTTTTCCATCATTGTGTTTGAGTTTGAGTCTGAGTCTGACTATCTGCATAACTTGTTTGCTTCGGATACTGAACTTGATTTTGAAATAGGTGATTAAAGCAACGGATCCACTGTCTCAGTTCTTACTAATCATCGATCGATGAAAATACAATTTCCCAAGCGGAATTCTATCTTATTTGATGAAAAATCAGTCAACAAGCGTGGTTGATTTTATGAGAACATGTTCCTATGGCCGGATTAAGCATACGGTAAATGATAGGGCAAATTAACAGTTAAGCAGAGTTAATCTACGATTAAAATTAGGAACACAGATCAATCAAATTAAATCAATTACACTATATGATAATTGAATTAAGCAAACAACAATCACATGATATAATTGAAAGGAAAAGAAATTAAACTGTAATTATCATAACAATCTCAAAGTTTGAACCTGAGTACAGTGAATCCGTCCAAAGAGGATTAGTTCTCCATGAGTCTACAAGCTTTTTTTCAATATTTTTGTGAGAGGGTTTTTATAGTTTCCCCAGCGCTTGGCCATTGGCCCCTACTTTCGAGGTTAGATAACTGTTTCCCGAAGAATAGGTAATTGTCATAACTAGTCGTTAGAACGGGAAGAGGTGCCCGTAACTAGTCGTTGCTACGGGCAGATGCACAGTTACAGGAACAAGCGTCTTGACTGTTTCTGGATGGTGGAACCGTGCGTGACAGACAAGTCTTGTTGAGGAGGAGTGTTGGCCCAGGGGTAAACCAGTCATTCTGGGAGTAGAAGTGGATTGGGCCATGCCTAGCCATTGGGCCAGTCCGAAACAGTAGCCCCCCAAGTCGTTGCTTCCGAGCATGGGAGTGATGACTTAAGGACAGTTCGCACTCCGGGCAAGATCTTCGCTTGTCGCATAGACGAAGTTGTGGCCTTGTTCCCGAGGTAATCTGTGCCTGAGAGTCTGTTACACTGCTTGTCGAGGAGCTCGAGGTACGGAGTGACCAACGGTTGATGGGATCTGAAGGAGTGAAGTGTCACGTGTGCCACGATGATTCCCCTAGCCATGCGTGTTCGTGCACGTGTCTATGATTGCCTATAAATAGAGCGAAATGCAGCTCATTTGCACTTTCACTTCTCTCTTTTCTTTCTTTCTTTGTTTCTGTTTTCAGCCGTCTACCGCTGTCAAGCTCTGACCGACCACCGTACCAGCACCTGTTAAAGCCGTTCAAACCCAGAAATTCGTCTTCGACCAAGTAAGTACATTAATTCCTTGTTCGTTGTACGTTTCATTAATTTCGGGCTCTTATATTGCATGCGGTTAGGGTTGTAACTGAGTAGTCTTAGGGCGATTTTCTGATGGCTGTTGGTGGCAGATAATGATTTGACCACTTTCTTCTGTTGCTGGCGTCGCTGGATTCTTTAGGAACTTAGGACTTAGAGACTTTTAGGCTTTTAGCTGATACTGATACCGTAGCGGCACATAGGCGCTCGCTGCCGGCGGGAACCGCTGGTTCCGGTATGCTCATGAGCTTTTTGGTGGTTTCCTCTTGGAGATTCTGGGTTTTACACCTGGGGAATTTTTCCCCGCATGTGTCAGGGAGATTTTTCGGGCACGCCCACGTTGTTGACTGTGCCATTTGAGTAGAGCTTAGGTCGAGGACGTTGTCCTCGGGCTTTCGTGCACCCTTTCACTTGACTAGTAGTGGAAGGGTGGATTTGATTTTGTCATTGAATTCACTTTTATCCTTTGCTTTTCAGGTAAAAGAGATGTCGCACGGGCCTGAAGAAGAGAATCTGAGAGACCTATTCGAGGAGAGATCCTCGGAAGAAACTGAAACCAACGATGCTTCCACGCCTCCTGACGCTGGGGAGGTGCCCGTTTCGAGGACCACCGCTGAAGAGTGGTCTGTGGCCGAACCAATGGAGCACGCCTCATTCTTTGCCTCTTATATTGGGGAAGTTTTCACAACAGTGGTGGACAAAGGGGAATGGAAGGTCCACTTTCCCAAAGAAGATAATCTCATATGC